ATTATTTCCTTAAGTACCTTCTGTTCTTTGAGATATCTTGACTATCAGATATCCCTCAGATATGCGCCTGCATACCCGCCTCGTCTACCATCTGACCTCTTGGTCTTATGTATGGGCATAGACGTAGGTTACCATAGCTCTATAACGTAGGGTCGTTACAACCCTCTATTGGTATAGGAAGGTTTAATCCATCCTCTTTCCAAGTTCTGCTGAATATACTTTCGTAATTCTTCAAGCTTGGTTTCCCCCAATGGGTATATTCTTTTCTGAGGCAATCCTTTGCTGCATTCCTTCAGGTTGATTTCTAGGTCAATACCAGGTCTGTGAGGTGGTAATGCAGTGGATTCCTTTTCTTGAAATAGGTCCAGGTGTTGGTGATCTTCCTTTGGTATCATCTTGTCTAATTGTTCTTCTCTTGATTGAGGTCGACCTCTTATGGCTAGCTCAGTACTGATATTGATTTTTGCTAGACTTGTTCCTTCATCTTAGAGGTCCGATTTGAGGATTCCTCCTGTTTCTCTCTTGCGGTAGAACTTTCTGAAGGCTTGTGCTGATATCCTCTTGATTTCGATCCTTGGTCGACCTTTCTTTGGTCATTTCTTCTTGGTCTGTGCTGCCAAACCCTTTGGTTTCTCTGGTGGTCTTGGTCAGGTTTTCTACTTCTTGGAGTTTCTATTTATGGATTTTCTGGATGATTAGTTGTATGATCTTTTTGCCTTTTTCCACCTTATAATCTTTGTCATGCTGGTTGACTATTACTACCTTCAATTCACCTGTATAATCAGCATCGATTACCCCCGCATTGGTAGTGAGTCTATGTTTGACTGTGGGACCGCTGCGTGAAGCTATACACCCATAGGTGCCTTGAGGTAATTCAATCGCTATTCCAGTTGGAACAATCACCTGTCCTTTGGCTGGGATTGTGTCTTCTCAATTGGTGTACAGGTCATGTCCTGCTGTCTTCTTGGGCTCTTTGGTCAGTATTTTCACCTCGTGGCTTAATCTTTGGACTTTGATCCTTTGATCCTTCTTTGGTCATACTTGCTTGAACTTTGTGTTTAAGTTCTCTTGGTTTGCTTCTTCTTCTGGAGTTGCATATACCATCAGCGAACTGTTAAAACACCATGTCACACATCATTCACTAGTAAATGTAACCTTCTCTTCTTCCCAGTCCCGTGTGGGATTATGTTGTTTTAACCATGGCATTCCAAGAATTATCTCATGGTGTTGCAGATTTGCCACTTGGAAGATAGCCACTTCCTCATAGTTTCCGATTTCTGTAACGTGTTCACGCCGAGGCACTAGTCACGCTGCTGAGTACAATAGGAGTAGAGTGTTATCTGCCAGAGAGTAACAGCTCTAGGCTTACTAAGGGAGGCTTCGGTGGTGTAGTAGGAAAATAAAGATAACTGTTCAACCAAGTATATTAGAATACTATCTGTTGAAGTCTGCTGTTTTCAGAGTGGAAGATGGTGGCCTTCCCAAGCACATGTGTTTGAGCACGACCACGAATTCTCACTCATGTTCTTACTCAATCAAGGCATAAAAATAACCAAGTATTAACTGATACTTAAAACAAAACATAAAACAACCTAAGTATTAACTGATACTTAAAACAAAACATAAAACAACCTAAGTATTAACTGATATTTAAAACAAAACATAAAACAACCTAAGTATCAACCAATACTTAAAACAAAACATAAAACAAACTAAGTATTCAACTGCCAGTAAGTACCAGCTCTGGTTATAATTTCCATAGGTACTTGCATTGTATGGGTGATAGGTCCCATTTCGCTGGGTTTACCATTCATCAGGTAAAACTGCCTTTCTTGTTTCGTTCTTTTGGTCTTGAGTCAACATTTCTTGCAGACTTCTTCGTCAATAAAGTATTCAGTTGCTCCTGAGTCGAGTATGGTGTATATCATTGTAGCTTCTTTCTTGTCATTATATATTGTTGTCTTGATTATGATATGATCATTGTCACTTGTTTTCGTGTTCATTCCTAAAATTGTGTAATAGTTTGCCAATGAGATAGATTTGTCTTTTGGTGGGTCCCACAGACCATCTAATGCTGGGAACCTTCATTTTTTGCTGGTTCTTCATATTTATCTTCAATCTCAATTTCTCTTAGGTTGTTGCGTAGTGGAAACCTCGAATTTGGTTTTGGACTTTTAGAGTCCCTTCTCTGTATTGCATTTGTGGCTGCTGGTTATCTGCAGTCTTTGACCATGTGTCCTGATATTCCGCATTTTAGGCACAAGTTATTATTCCCCGTTGGAGATACTTTTCTTTTGATAAGTTGAGTGATGGCCTCCTTTGGGTAGTGTTCAGGTCTATCGTATCGTCTCCTTAGGCGGTAGTTCTGAATGTTCCATTCTGATTCCTTGGTGATCACTGGTATCTTGTTTTTGTGTTGCTGCTTTATGTTGTAGTTGCTTGATTTCTTTGGATCCAGTCCAGTTGTCTGAATTGAATTTCTTTTCGAATGGCCCAGTAGGCCATTTGTTCAGTGGTTGCGAATCTTTCTTCACTAATCCTCTACGCATCTTGATATGTCTTTTTCAATCCCTTCATAAACCACCTCATAGCTGAGGCTTTATCACATTCTCCGTCATATTTGAGTAATCTAAACTCATACCAGTAGTTGGTGACATTCCTTCTTCCTTGTTCGATACTTTCGAGTTTGTTTCTTGCTGATTGGCTTAATTTCATACCTGTGAATTAAGCCTTGAATGTGGTTTTGAAACTGTCCCAGTCAGTCCAGGGTACTGGTATCTGGCCGACTGCTATGGGTATTACCCATTGTAGGGCTTGCCCTTCCAGTAGGGTTAATGTATATCTGATATTGGCGTCATCATTCCCTGTCGTCCATCCTACTGCTTCAAAGTAGGTGAGAAGTTGAACTATGAATCCTCGTAGTTTGCTTCTTTCTCCATTGTATCTTGGAGGTGTCTTGACTTTTGGCCTCTGTCCAACTCCTCTGATTGCTTCTCATATTATTTTTTCTACTTGATCCCGGGGGATCATTGCTGGAAGTGCATGCCCTGCCGGAGGTGGTGCTGATCCTGACATTCTTTCCGGTCTCGGGGCATCAGGTGGATCTTCTTCGTTTGGAGGAGTGACTTGTTCAGGTGTAACCGGGCTTGTTAATCTTGCTAATTGTCAACTTGCTTCGCTTAGGACTTCTTCCAATCCTTCTAATCCTAGACTGTCGTCTTGGATGTCTATGTCTCCCTCGTGATCTCTGTTGAAAGGATCCGTTGTGTAATCATTAAGTGTCACATTGGAGACATGTTCTAATGTTAAGAATCTTACCAGGCGAGTGAGTAGTGCGACAGGTAACAATTCTTACTTAGGTATGAGGTAATAGTTCTTAGGCTATTGCCTAGATGAAGGTGATAGTCTAGTTCCTCAACTCCTATCTTATTGCACCTATTCCTCTGAACTTTCTTGAGTCCTTACTTAGGACTTAATCTTTCATCTTGGGAGGAAAGACAATTCTTGAGTTTCTTAAGATAAATCTTATAGAGTGTAGAGGTGGGTTTTATTGTAGAATATAAAGATAAGAAATAAACAAGAAGAATGTATGAAGAGCTCATACTCAGGGTCCAAGTAACCCTTTATATATTCGCTCTTCACCTAGCATGACTCATACCTCACGTCATGCAAACCCTGTGACTCATAACTATAAGTTATACAGAATCCCTCAGCTAACTCCTATGAGTCGCTGCGCAACATACCTTAAACCAATCAAAACCTAATAACCAAATCAGGTGCGCAACTTGCATCACTTGAGTAAAACCCATGACTCATAAATTGAGTCATTTGCGAAAATCATAATATCATGTGACTCACAACTGTGAGTTACTAGCAGGTAAATATAATAACCTATAGCGCACTAGTGTGCATCATGTGAAATCCCAACATACCTATAACTCGGAATTCCAAGTTATGTGAAATCTGCCTTGCTTAGTCACAGTTTGTGACAGAAACCTGGTCGAAGACACCACCGATGCAAATAGCAACACCGAAGAACAAACTGTCATCGACACTATCAACCAATCAACCACCCAAATTAATTTGTCACAAATGTTAGAACAACTGAATCAACGTCACAAGTTGAAAAAACCATTGATAGGAGACCTTTCGGCAACTTTGCACTTATTCCGTGCCACGAAGGATTATATGGATATTGAGGAATTTTTTAATTCAACAGTTCTTCCACTACCTGTCAGTGATTCTACCGTTCGGTCACTGGAAGTACCCCCCAGTGATCCTTCCATTCTCCCGGTCCTCGCTAGAAATTCTACCATTCTGCCAGAACCTTCCGGCGATTCTACCGTTCCCGCAGTACCTGCCAGCGCTTCTACTGTGCTCTCAGTACCCCCCACTGCTCCTACCATTCTCCCGGTTCTCTCTAGCGATTCTACCATTCTCTCAGAACCTTCCAGCGATTCTACCGCTCCCACTGTACCTGCCAGTACTTCTACTATTTCCCCAGAACCTGCCAGCCAATCTACTGTTCTTTCAGTACCTCCTAGTGATCCTACCATTCTCTCGGTCCTCGCTAGCAATTCTGCTATTCTCCCTTCTCCCTCCAGCGATTCTACCGTTCTCCCAGTCCTTGCTAGCGTTTCTAGCGGAATCCGGGAATTTCAGATCCCGTTAGAGGATATCTTCGGCAACGATCTGCCCGAAGTGCTCGATCCCAAAGATTCAATCATCTTCACTTTGCCCGAGCTAGAAGCACATGTCATCGGGTCTCTCCAAGGAACTACTTGGTCTAGAGCCCTTCAACGTGCAAAAAAGCATATGAAAGAGAAGGGGGTATGGAAGGAAAGGGAGACTTTTACACAGTCTAAACGCCGGAGGCGCTATTGATGGGGGGATTGGGGCTTCCTATATGTACCGTAGCGTAAAACATGGCTTTCTACCTTTCTTAAAGATACCCTCATTCTCGAGTCTCTCAATCAAGAACAATAAACCCAGACCAAATACCACCGCCTTCCCCGGCCCTTCAACCATATCATGGAACTTATCAATCCATTTCTCCATTCCCCTCACCAACGCTTTCGCCATTGCCACTCTTTTCTGCCTCTAGATCAATCTCTATAGCAGGCCACTCACTGAACAGTGCATTCTCACTTGGCCCCTCTGTATTCTCTCCAAGCCCTGGCGGCCAAGCGCTCCATTAGGCCCTAACCCAACACTCCAGTGAAAAGTCCATAGCAGCACCAGCATACCCTGCTAGCCCGTCACGCCCCGCAACACCTCCATACATCCCAACAGAAGATGCAAAAGCTCGGAAGATCGGCTTTAATTCTTCACTGGTATACCTGGCTTTATCTTGAGCCAGTTGGTCGGCGGCCATGGACATTCTCGGCAAACACCGCATCGGGTTCAATAACCTAGGAGTGCAGCTATTTGCAGATCTTGAGAGGGACCTATCTCTCGCGTTGACAAAAGGTGAGTCTCAGCTATTGCTGATAATTGAGGCCAAATTTGTTAATTATTCGTCTTTTAATATAGGATCGAGTGAGAAGGCAGATCTAGAAAGGGCAATTGTGGAGCAGAAGGAACTTTTGCAGGAGAGGCAGGCTTTAGTGTGCACCCAGAAACTCGCCTATTGGCGTGGCCTTGATTATTCCCTAATACTTTGAGTTTGTTAGATTGATGCACACGAGGACACTAGCGAATAACAGCAACAGAAAATTCGAGAACAAGAGAGCCGGCTACAGAATCTGGGCTATGAGATAGCCAAAGCCAAAATTGAGAACGAAGCTCTTGCAGAGAGACTTGAAGGGATTGAAAAGGCCGATAGAGGGCGTCAGCGCAGAGCGTATGCCTGGTTTTCTTAGTAAGGGCTCTCTTTAAATTAAAGTTAACTTATCAAAATAGACTCGCTATCACCAATGATAAATCCTTAGAAAACAAAGAAAATATACCATGAGTTTTTAATTATCTCGCACAGGACATCCTGAGTCGAACTCTCATACGGCCGGTGTTCCCATCTCTAAAGCCTCTAAATAATCCATGGACACAATCGAGCATTCCAGTAGACGACACAACACAAACACTATTCTCTTACAAAGATGGTGAAGTTCAGACGGATTCCACTCTCCCACTGGACGATCTAAAGAAGTCATATCAGGAGCTTGCCTCTAGCTACAATGATATTCGCTATGAGCTTGATCAGTACAAAGAGGCATATAATCGTTTGGCCGAGAAATATGCACAGAATAAGGCTGTTTGGAAACAGTGGTCCGAGCAAGAAAATGCGCGATTGATCAATTCCAAGAAGAGGAGGATAGACAGAGGTACCACTGAGCCACAGACTATTGGACGGAAGTTTAACGGCTACACAACCCCGGCTACACCAATAACTGGGGGCTCGCCTACTCCTAGAGCGCCAAACATATCCCCCGTCAAGCTGTGATTCCGACCATCTGTCGTTCACTCATCACCTAAAAAAGGAGGACTATTTCACGAGTTACCAGGATCTGGTGCTGGCGTGGTGGGGGGGGGGGTGAAAGGGTCTTTTGAACCTGTTGATAAGAATACTCTGATAGCTGGTGACCCAAAAGAGGGTCCAGAAGAGTTGACTTCTTCGCCTCTCAGCAGCCCTCCATCATCTTTATCTATCCTGGGGACCCAGGTACCATCAACAACCTTTGGAGTCACTCAGAATTCTAAACCACGCGATGGTAGCGACTCAACAAAGAGTGAGGACGAACCTAGATCTAGCAATCATTACAGTGGTGCACTCAATGAGCCTGTTCTACCTTCTCGGGACTCTGCTTTCAAGGTTCCTATAATTAAGAGGGAGATAGATATTTGCGGTCACGGTCATATTAGTCAGGAAGGTGATAGTGTGGCACGGCCCGTAATTATCAAAAGTGAATTCCATGCAAGCAGTGAGGGTTTTGGCTATCATATATTTGATCAAGCGAGTCTTGATTTGGATGATATCGGACAAAAACCTCAAATACCCTGAAAATGCTAGAAGCCCCTTCATCCTGAGCTGGAGACTGCGGAGAATATTAGTAGACTTGGCTGGATTAGCGGTGGGTTTAGGATCGCTTCTACCGAGGATACTGGAGAGACACAAGATACTGAAAATGACTTGCCAGTACTTACTTTTCCTCTTCCCACAACTGGTGAGGGAAAACCTCTGGGTATATGGTCAGACTCTCATCTAGCGCGGCCAACGACTCCGGTGGGGACAGCTAGGGCCGAGCCTGGGAGCAGTCCTCCATTTTCTGCCCCAAACAAGGGTAGCAATTCTACCGTTCTCTCAGTACCTCCCAGTAATCGTACTATTCTCTCGGCCCTCGCTAGCGATTCTACTGTTCCCCCAGAACCTGCCAGCAAATCTACCGTTCTCTCAGTACCTTCCAGTGATCCTACCATTCTCTCGGTGCTCGCTAGCGATTCTACTGTTCTCCCTGCTTCCCCCAGCAATTCTACCGTTCTCCCAATCCTCGCTAGCGTTTCTACCGGAATCCGGGAATTTCAGATCCTGTTAGAGGATATCTTTGGCAACGATCTGCCCGATGTGCTCGATCCCAAAGATTCTATCATCTTCTCTTTGCGCGAGCTAGAAGCACATGTCATCGGGTTTCTCCAAGGAACTACAAAACCCCCCGCCTCTCAGGCAATCTAGCCAAATGATTGCTGCCGGGGAGGCCATTTCAGCAATTACCGAAGAGAAGAAGCTCGGTGTGCACGCGCCACCGAAAACAAAAAAGCGCCGTATAGTAACACCTAGGGCTATAGCTAGCTTCGCAGAAGATGGTACAGATGGATGCAAGGACATAAACCCCATTTCCATTTATCCACTAATGGCATTGTCGGAAAAGCAAAGGAACCAGCTTGAAAGAGATATGAAAGGCACAGCTCGGTTGGATGATATATTGAATTTGCCTCCATCCCGAACACCAAACTTGGCGCGTCTTAAGAAGAACGTACAATCCAGAACTTCTCCGGCTAAGAAATGAGCTTGGGGCGGTGATGGGTTCGAGGCTCCCCCGGTTCGACACACTTTGCGTCCGCCTACTGGTCCATTGATAGGTATTTTACCAACCCTTTCCTAATCCCAAGTAGGGCAACTTCGTCAGGAGTACAAGTCAATCTTTAAGCAGGTCAATGTGGCCACGCATATCAAAACCGTCTTTCTGTTGAATACATATGGCGGTTTTGGAAAGGTTGCTTTTACGGTAGCCTTAAGGCCGTATGAGTCAGAGGGTTGGTTTGCAAACTGCTGGTATCAGCTAGGAGAGACTCGTAACAAACCCTTGATTGAAGCGCTAATGGGAAAATCGGCCGCTGAAATTCGGAAGATAAAGGCTAGTTTCAAGGATGCTAAATACCTGAACAGTCTCGAGAAAGTTGGGCGTAATGAACTCGAAGGGAACAAATTCCGGATGGCGGTGTTGATCCAAATTGAAGGAGTGAGGATGGAAGAAAGTGAGGAAATTAAGATTGATAGTGTCAGGAAGGATGTTAGAAGGTTGGGAGAGGTCATGAAAAGGAAGGATGCAAGGGGTGGCGAGATAATAATGATTGAGATTCTGGCTGATAGGAGTGACCGGTGGATCAAGGAGATGGCGGAACAGCACAAAGCCACTCACCAAAGGGATTTGGCGAAGGTTGTTATGAGGCATTCTAAAAACCTTGTGGTGCGTATGACTAAATTCTCTTATTCCCTCTTTTTATGTTTGTTTGCTAAAAGGTGGATAGGGGAAAACATTACTCCATACTATAAATGGCATGGTTGGCCTCTCCGTGACGCGAAATTTCTCGAGCAAACCATCACGGCATTAGTGGAGCAAGGCCGTGGGGATTTGCTTATTAGCAGGATGGTTAGAGTACATTGGAACCCTTACCATATAGACTGTATTAAGAAGGTCTATAAGAAGAAATTTAAGGTGGATTTGTCGGGAGGCTTAAGGAAGTTGTTGATGGTGATTTTGAAAAGTTCTTGCTTAGGATGATTAGGGATTAATCCTTCCTTTCCTTTCTTTTCCTTTTCATTTTTATTTTTATTTTTATTACTTCTTTTTTGGTGATGAAGTTATGGTGTAGCGATAGTTTCTGTCTTTTGTAGGAACAACCACGTTATTGAATAGTTCCAGATTCTCTCGCTAGATGTGGGTACGGTACGGGGTGTTTGATATGTAGCGCACCGAACTTATTATTAATACATTACCATTTCATAATCCTGCAAATCCCTAAACTTCCCAACCACCCTTCCTCCCAGAGGTGCCTACCTTCTCTACAGCCTATTTAACACCATTATACTCACCATTTCCAATCACTCCGCAACCACCTTGGGCTTATTTCCCTCACAGAGCAATATTTACACTACTCTACATTCACTCAGGTACTCATTCAACCCCTCCAATACCCGATTTGTAACCTCTATCCTATCAACACCCCCACCACACGCAACTCCAATCCACCCCTCCTCTCTATCCCCATCTTCTACTACCTCTGTGGGGACATGGTGGGTTAAACACCAGCATATCCGCCACTCCTGACCTCAACCCCGTCGCTAAATCCGTCCTTATAGCCCCGAGAAAGTATCCACTCTCCTTGGTGAGACTGGCAGTAACAGTCTGCTTCGTAGTCTTTGGAGCATGCGGAGAAATTTCTGCAGACAGGGTCGTAATTGAGTTGTGACCAAAGAGTGCGGTAGAGTGCGTTGTGAGGAAGGAAGCTATAACGCCGGAACCGCTGCCGAGTTCGAGGAGTAGAGGGAGGGAGGAGGTTTGCGGAAAGCGGGACTGTAGAAAGGGGGATTGGAGGGGTTAGGGTGATGAGAAGGAGGAATGTATCATCGCTTGGCTCCTAGATGTGGTTGAAGGAGAGGTGGGGAGGCTGTTGGGATTGGAAGCATTTTGTGCGTGTGTGTGGGGTGGTGGTGGTGGTAGGGTGTATATTCCGAGTGGTTACTTCTACCGGTAGTGGGGTGGTTGGGAGTTAGAGTGGGGCCGGGTAAGCAAATTTGATTGTCATCTGTGGTCACTTGGGAGGGGCCTTTTCGCTGTTTGGGAAGTTGGGTTGGATTTGGGTTTTATGGTGGCTATGCTGGTGCGATGCTGTAAACCACTAAGGGATTAAAGGATGGTAGTTCATCGGCAAAGCAATTATCTATAGGCTCAAAAACTCATTGCTGCTAAGCTGCTAGCCGCAGCAAGAGATGGCATATCTTCGATCCCAAATAGTTTACCTCGAGGGATGCAGGAGTGCTCTATCAAGGGTCCGAGAGCTTTTCTTTCCTTGTTATCTTCGATAAAGCGTCTCGCTGGCTGGCTGGCTGGCCGGTTGCATTTGGAGCTTGAGCTCAACTCAGGGGACTATATATCATAGCCTAAGTATTATCACTGCGGTTGAATCCATTCTTACACTTACATTATAAGGATCAGAAAGAGGTCAAGTAATTTATGGGTTGATGTTTAGAGGTGGTGTAGGTGGGGATAGTTTGAGGAAGTAGGCAGGGGAGGGGTCTCATTGGGTTTAATGATTATGATTATCGTTCCCATAATAATATTATCACTATCCAGAGTTGGATTGGGTTCATATGGTATCACTCGTCCAATATTCCTTGTTGCAATTGCACGGATGATTGATAAGCCAGAACATTATTGCTTTCTTATCGCAGAAATATTATCAAGCTTCTGCACTCCACTTCACAAATGCACAAGTGCAACAAACAAGGATTTGCAGAGATAATGTTTCAATAACATCTACACTTTCTCTCCCTAGCTGTGAAAAAAAAAGACCATACACCGCCTGTACAAAACGAATGTCGATCTACCACAAAATGGACCCTGAATATCACCCCAACCTTCGCCACACGGTACTCCACCTTCTCTCCACTCCTCTCCCTCTCCCCCCACTACCAACCAGCCCCACCACAAGACAAAGGTATTGAAGTCTATCGTAAGCTATAGCCCATGATATAATCCCTCAAGTTGAAAAACAACAACGAAGGGTATGAACAAACATAAATGCAAATAAAACTTGTAAATGACAATGCAATGCTCGCTATGAATGGATAAAAGCAAAAAAGACAAACAAATAAACGATCCCAATGAAAATGCAAATAGCAAAAGACCCAAGAAGCGCTAGCGGACTTAATCCTCCAGGCGCAAGTCAATGCTTCCCAGGATCAATGCTAGCATGTACCACTCTGTCTGTACTCCCCTTGTGAATTTTCTACGGCAACTGAGCCGCCAGCCTGCAACTAGTGCGGATCCATAGCAACTTTCTCGGTGGGCCCATAATACACATCTGCAGGCGACATACTCTCTCTACTAGCAAGGCTGCCGCCCCTATTGCTGTTCTGGCTACTTCTACCTCACGCCGGAAAAACCGGCAATGTAGTGACTCTACCGCTACCATTAATATTCGCACCACCCAAGGAAGTGGACTGTTGTTTGACCGGTGTGGGAGGGAGACCACCAGCTTCGCCGCGATGCTTGTCGGAGGTGTAGAATTGGGTTAAGGTTGAAGGAAAGAAAGGATTGAAAGGGAGAAAAAGGGGACTTTCATACAGTCTAAACGCTAGAGGCGCCATTGACGGAGGGGACCAAAACTTCCTATATGTACCCTATGTTTGGGTAGAGGGGGTACTAAGTATGTGTAAGGTAGGTGCTTAGGTGATGCGGCGCTGACCAAGAGTTGACAAAAGACCATTGGGTGAGTTATTCGACCACTATACTCAAGGCGCCGGTTTGCTCTGCCAGTTCCTATTAAGGAATCGCTCATCCTCGGGAATTTTAGCCAATAAAACGCAGTACAGAACGATGATTGCAACCATACTAAGAAAACTCTGAACCTCAAGAACCTGGATGACATTCACCTCTATTCACTTGAAACAACGAAAGGCAATGGTGAGCTATGCCAGCAGAAGGGAATCATCACATTTAAATGGCCATTGAGATCACAAGATCTTAGCCAAATTGAGTGACTATGGGATGATTGTAAAGATGAGATTGCCGCTTACCAATTTACTGGTACTAGTCAGGAAACGGTTAAGCAAGCAAAGGCTACATTGGTTGAGGTTTGGAGACAGTTTCCACAGGAATTGATCGATAGGCATTGTTAAAGCTTTCATGAAAAGCTTAATAGATGTATCATTCATCATGGTAATAATAAATTTAATGGATAGTATTTTGTATTTGTTTTAAGTTTGTTCCTTTCACGCACTCCTAGCAGCTAAATTAAACGGGCCGGTGATGCTTTATGTGGGGATTGTTACTGTGGCTGCAGGAAAACTGGTGACTCAGTAGTCAATGTTACAGCTTTGCTTTAAGGTGTCCATACACTTTAGCTAGTGTTGCGCCAGAGGCACTTTAGTGTCTTATATAGGCCAAAACATCCGAGGATGAGCGATTCCAGAATAGGAACTGGCAGAGCAAACCGGCGCCGTGAGTACAAGTGCCAGGGATAAATTTTTCATACAGAACAGGGTTTATTTTGCGGGTCAACCTAAATTAACTGTTTGGATACTTTATCCCTATGCCTTGTACTCACCTGAAAAATGCCAAGCCTCGGAATCCGGCCCATCGATACCTCTCACCACCGTACTGGTGGCTCGGCCTTGTCCTCTTGTCAATTGGGGAATGTGGCCACTTTCTCACCTACGGGTTCGCGCTTGCGAGTATCGTATCCCTACTCGGTGTCATGGCGCTAATCTCAAACTGCGTCATAGCACTCGCGATGCTCAAAGAGCCATTCCGCGGCCGAGATCTCCCCGGCGTTGTGGTCAGTATTTACTGTGCTGTGATTGTGGTCTGGAGTGCTGGAAAGGAAGAAGTCAAGGTTGGCGATACCTAATCCGGTATTTCTTTTACCAGCCCGTCTTCGTACCGACTGGCTGCTGTGCTGCGAAATATAGCTTGGATCTCATCAGATCCTTGAAGCCATCACGCAGACTACTTTTGAGGTTTACTTTGGGATTACGTGCAGCCTTATTGCCCTGTTGATGTATATTTCCCCAAAGTGTGGAAGAAAGTACACATTCATTGATTTGGGGCTTGTGGGATTATTCGGTACCCCCCCCCCCTCCCTCCTTCGCGGTAAAGTTACTAACCGAGGGTAGGCGGCTATACTGTCCTCTCAACAAAAGGAATATCATCCCTCCTCTCCTCATCCTTCTACCGAATCTTCACCCTCCCGATAGCGTACCCCCTCGCTATAATCCTAGTCGCAGCAGCAATCCTGCAGGTGAAATACGTAAACCGTGCCTTCCAGCGCTTCGACTCGACACAAGTGATCCCGACACAATTCGTTCTCTTCACCATCTCTGTGATCCTCGGATCAGCGATATTATACAGAGACTTTGAAACTGTCGACGTGGGGGGATGCTACAATTTGTTTCTGGGTGTTTGCTGACTTTCTACGGTGTGTGGATAACTTACCCCGGCCGCAGCAAGGCCAAGAACCCAGATGACGAATCCGACTATGAGAGCGATTTCGATCCTGTAGTGGGGCTAGAACGGGGGGTAGTAATGCTCCATAGGAAGAGCAGACCCTTTCTCCTTGATGGGGCCGACATTACTAGTTCTAGCAGCGAGGGCGAGGGAGGAGTTTAAGCCTCTCCCACCCGCAATACCCTCTCACCACTTCTCGAAGAGCCGCCTGTAACCCGCCCGCAAGTTACACGGGGCACCTCCAGCTCCTCCCTAGTAGTGACCGAACGCTCCATGGCACTTTCAGATGCTATGCATTCCAACCTCACCCACGCCGACGAACCCCAATCCAGCCGGAAGAACAGTCTCACCCCTTCCCACCGCCGATCAATTTCTTCCCTGCTCCAGGGACCGATCGTTGCCGGCTCGCAATTAAAAGCTGTGGTGGTCGGGAGCGTTGAGAAGTGGCGCCGGGACGAGAGCGTTGGTAGGGAGCGGAGTGAGAGTCAGAGCTTTGTGCTGGATTTGCTGAAAGGTCGTAGGGTGGCTGCGAGGTAGGTTGGCTGGCTTCCACGAAATTGACCGATGGTGGGGCAATTTTCAGAGCCTCAACTCTTGTTTTTCCTCCCCGTCTATTGTGTGGGAGCTGAGTTGGCTTGGCAGGGCAAGCCCCACTCCCCCATTACCCGCTCTTACGACCCTTGCGGGAACTTGACTTTTGATATTACAGACCTACATAACTTACCCCTTGTTGAATTCGTACAAGGTTACTAACAAACAATCTTGTAACAAAATCAACAGAATTTTTACATGCCGCCCGGATCCAGAAGGCATGACAGAGGTGGAGGGGGGTTTAAATGAAGAGGAGGAAGCCAAGGAGGTAGAGGCGGTAGAGGCGGTCGAGGAGGGAGAGCCCAAGGAAGAACCTCGACTAGAACTGGGGATCGACCAAAGAAGCACGTGTTTCCTATCAATCAGCTCTAATATATGATCGCACGACCCCTCTCCACCACAGGGGACCGCCCCGACAATTGAGTAACAGAACTCCGGAACCCGAAGATCCCAATTCTAATCCCGAAACTTCAGATGATCCCGAACTGCGCGCTTGCAAAGACTCTGGGAAAGACTTAGGTAGCGACGACCCCGAATTGCAATCGGAAGATGACATAGTAGCAGCAAAACCTTACAACCTCCTACTCCAATATCCGGTCACAAGCAAAGAGTCCAATTAACGCAATCCTAAACGTCGAAAACTTGATCACACAGAAACCGAAGAGGATGGGATCATCTTGGAAGACGGTGAAGATTTAGCAAATGAGCCCGAGGAAAAGGAAGAGTCCGAAGAAGAGGCCATAGACGTAGGCTCAGATAACGAGGATCAATCCGACCTATTTGAATGACATTTTCCGAGCCCCTTACCCTCTAGATTGGCTTCCATCTCCTCCTCTTCGAAAGATGAATGCAAGGATACTAAGCTGCCTAAATATAGACTACTTGGGAATGCCTGCCTATCCATTCCAGGAGGCTCGGAGCAAAACATAGGTGGAAGAAGCATTGAAGGCCTAAAAGACCTGAATTTGAAGAAGCTGGTCGCTGAAGAGCTGACCCCGCTACAGAAGTCATTAGGGCAGCTTGTCTTCAATTACGTGGATGTTTTATATGGTGAACGAACACTAGGCAATGCTGAAGAGTTACGGAGGATGTATTCCTTGCATGCGCCAAATCATGTTCTAAAGTATGTTCACACCCAAGTACTAGATCGTCTTCATACCAATCAAAACTCAGGACCCGAGACCGAGTTCTAAAGAACAGAACTATGCCCGGCTAGCAAAGGCTACGGGCGAGGAAATTGAGTTCCGAGATCAAGGCTTCAGAAGGCTCAAAATCCTTTTCATACTACCAACTTGAAAGGCTTGCGTGGAAAGAAATAAATGCACTAGTCGACATATCATACCACAACCAGCGCAACAAGTAAGTTCATCCTCCCTCGAATACCTATCACACTGCCAAATATTCACGGAAAACAAAAAACGCTTTCAAGATACATACTACACCCCCCCGGATGCCGAGCAGATTAGCCCCAACAAGCCGGAAGACTTCCGTGCTCTCTTTAGCGGAAACTACGACGACCTCTCCAGGTTAGGCTTAAAATTAACTCGGAAAAACTCACAAGTGCTTTAGTGAATTCTACAACTCCGATATGATCCTCGCTTCACCACTTGGGTTGAGTATGACTATTGGTGATGAGTCCGACAAAAAGCGCGACTACGATTTCCTCTCCAGTATAGAATTGGTGGTAGTGGATCAAGCCGACGCATTGCTTATGCAAAATTCGAATCGCCTAGAGCATATCTTCAAACACCTCAATTTGATACCCAAGGATCCGCATGGTTTTGACTTTGGGCGCGTACGGAACCGGTATTTAGACACTAATGCAAAATACAACAGACACATGTTGGTGCTCGGCGGGTTCGTGACACCGGAGATGAAGTTGTTTAATCAGAGTATGTTAAATGCTATGGTGCCTTGCACTCAAAAGGTATGCCGTGCTCCATGCAACACGTAACGCTCAGCCCTCTAAGAAACTAGTACTATACCCTAAAATCCTGTCCCTGGAGTAAAATGTTAACTTTAATTCACAACCACATTATAAATTAATAGTATATTAA